ACAAAGTGAGCTCAAGGCCAGCCTGAACTGTGCAGCGAGACCCTGTCTCAAAAAGACAAAAAAAGAAACTGAACAAGAACTTTTATACCAGCTTTCTTCATAATGATCAAACCACAGAAGCAAGCGAGATGTCCTTCCATAAGTGAATAGCTAAACTGTGCTACATCCAGAGTGGGATACTATCCAGCGACAAAATGAAATGAGCCACAAGAGACCTAGAGGAAATTAATTGCATATTACCAGTGAGAAAACCGGTTTGAAAGGCCACATACATACTGTATGATTCCAACTACGTCACATGCTGGAAAAGGAAGTGACTACGGAAAAATATTTTGGCCTTGTCCAGAGATGGAAAGGGATGTGGAAGGAGAAATGAAGAGTCACAGCACAGATTTTTAGGGCAGTGAAACTCTCCTGTGTGGTGACAAAGGTAGATCCATGCCACTATACATTTTTCAGAACCCACAGACTGTACAATACGGAGAGTGAGCCCTGACGTCAGCTGTGGACTTGGGGTGATAGGGAGGTACGGCTGCAGGTTCATACTGATAGTGGGTGAGGCTGGGGTGAAGGGGATAGATGAGAACTGCTTGTACTTTCAGCTTAACTTTGCTGCAAACTTAAATGTCCTCTAATAAATAAAGTGGAGTGTGTGTGTGTGTTTTGTGATAGTTTTCTTTTAGAATCCTTCACAGTGCACATATTTTGGAAGATGAAGTACAACATAGCCTATTGGGCTAGCTCACAAGAGACTCTGACAGTCTCAGGAAATACACTAATCCTTCTTCAGCGAAAGAAGTTGATATTTCCAAAACTATGGTGCATATTCAGAATGAAAATAGAGTGGGAGAAAAATGGCGCCATGTCTACCTGCACAGCAATGCATGGACTTCTAGCATTCACCTGACAGACATGCTAGTGTTCACCTGGATAGCGTGGGGACAGGTCGGCTGAGGACCATGACATGAAGTCCCCACATGAATTCCCTTGAACACACCATTGTGTCATCATTGTCGGTAGTGTTTTAAGCAGCTAGGGATCTATCCAGAGAACTGAAATAATGGGGTTTCGGCTTCTAAAGGATGCCGCCATTCCCTGGCCTGGAGCTCTCTCTCCCACACTGGCCAAGAAGGGAATAGCCAGTGAAGTCCTTGTGTCACAGCTCTCTGACTTCCAGCTGGACTTCAGTCTCCTACACGGAAGGATCTATATTAGTTTCCTGCAGAAGGTGCAGCAAGTAAAACTGGTGGTTCGCAATAGAAGAAATGTCTTCTCTTACGTGTATAGACTCTTTTCCTTGTCCTTATTCCCTAAACAGTACAGTGCAACAACTATTCACGTAGCATTCATATCTTGTTAGGTGTGATAAGTAATCTAAAGACGGCTTAAAGTACACAGAAGGAAAGACTCAGGTTCCACGCAGAGGATGTTACTGGAGCATCCATGGATTTTGCTATCTGCAGGAGGTCCTGGTTACAGAGGGATGACTGTACTAAAAAGACAAACAATTAAAAGCATGGTTTCCTGTCCTACATCCAAGATTTAGGAAAGAAATGAAATCTTAAAAAATGTGAACAGACTTCACTTTTCACAGTTCCTAAACATTTTCATTTTCTATTGTGAATATTTTTAAAGCAACAAAATCTGGCTAGGCAATATACATTTTTCTTTAAACTACATTTCTACGGCTTACACAGAGCTGTGCTTTCTCTTCTCTTGGTTTCTGTGCATATGAAGAGGCAATGCTGACCCTGAAAATGTCACCGATCCTTGCGGAACAACAGCAGCGGAGTGGGAGGAAGAGCTCTGGCGGGTCTTTGGTTTTTTTTTGGTTTGTTTTTTTTTTTGTTTTTCTCCGGTACCGGGAACCAAACTCACGACCTTGCGCTTGCCAGGCAGGCGCTTTGCCGCTGAGCTAAATCCCCAGCCCCATCTGGCGGGTCTTGAGTGGACACTAGCAGAACACTCAAAACTGCTACTGCAATGGAGCCTGGCTGAACATCAGACGCAGACACCATAACCACAGCCCCAGCGAGCACACGCGACCACACTGCTGCCTTGCTGCCATGCAAAGAACCACAGTCGCCATGGTGGGAGGACAAAGATCCAGTGGCGCGGGCCAGCTGAGACAGCAGTGTGTTTTAGGGCTTCAGATTGCTGGGTTCTGGGAACAGAGCTACAGTGACCCAACACTGTGTTTTTCCTGAGACGGGACTGACAAAACGTGGTACAGGGTGACTGTGTTGGGAATCTTCCCACTTGCTGGGGAAGAGCCCTCATACAGCTGGAAGGTCCTCTGGAGGATGGCCCTGTCCCCGGACGCCACCCTGTCCCCATGCCTCCAACCTCTCCATACTTCTTTATACCCATACCTATGTCTGTACCCGCATCTACATGCATATCCATATAATCAGCCATGCACGCTCTGTGCAGGCTTCTCCGCTTAACAGATCCAATGAGTTCTGAAGCGGATGTATTGGCACCCTCCCCAGAATCAAAACCACCCAGGAGCGGGCGCTAATTGGCCTAAATGAACCAGTATAATCCTCAAGTGATTGGCTTGGGACTAGCACTGGTCCAGACATAAACCCACCAGTTGTTGGCACTACCTTCTTTACGTGATTGTTTCACCAGGGGCACGTGGCTAGAGTTAGTCCAGAGTAAAGCCCAGGGGACTTGTCCAGTAGCTGGAAAAATGTTTGTGGGATCCTGATTGGACCCCTGGCGTGGCTGCAGCCACTTTGTCATCGGGAAAGAGTGAAGCCCAGCGGTGCTGCCAGCACAGTGAGAAAGTGCAGAAAGCAACACAGAGGAGTAGGAACCCTAATGAAACTGCGTATCCTAATCCGCCTCATCTCTGGCCTTTTCTGTTATTAGACAGTTTAAGGGGCATTTCCTGTTATTTGCAATGGATCAAAAATGACCTTACCAAGAACAGTGATAGGTGCTGGGAATTCCGTGGTGAAAAAGATAAAGTGCCTCCCCTGCCATGCTCGCATTTTAGTAGAAGGCAGATAATAAAGGAATTTCATCCAGCCCTATGTGGAGCATTTTTGTATTTTTAATTTAATTTTATTTTTGTTGGTGCATGTTTGCAGTATGTAGTGATCACAGTCCTCGTGAGGAGTCGGTGTGTGGAGATACCCACCCTCACTCTTTGTACGTCCCCTCCCCTCCCCCTCCTGCCTCTTAGAGCCCTTCCTATGTACAAAAAATCTACCGTGATGGCAGACACACATTTTAGGCCACCAGGGAAGGCCTTCCTGAGGTGACATGACAGTGACAAAGAGCCAGGAATGGAAGCTCTGGGAAACAGGGTGCCGGGTAGAGGGAACAGTGAACAGGAGGCTGGTGAGGGTCGACGGTGCAGACGCCATGCAGGTAAGTGGCCTGGCTGCTAGGCTGCGTGTGGCATCTCAACCTTCTCTGAGGAGGAGCCATGGGAGGATTTTGAGCAGAGGCACGCACACCTGACTGCTGTCTGGAAGTTCTCTAGCTGCCAGCCCGCAACATGACCGTAAGTGTGAGGAGAGCAGAAGGGTTGCAAGCTCTGAGCGAGGCACGCGCCCGGCGGGGCCCTGGGTGGGAGCCGTGGTACAGCGTGCGAAGAAGCCATTTCTGAGTGTCTCCCTTGCTTCTTTCCTTTGGAAGCCGCAGATTCACCTAAAGTCCTGTTGGGTTTTTCCTTTCTCCAGAGTGAGGCTCCAAAGAAGGAGGCAGCACCACAGGACCAGCAGTGGCTGTTTCTACACATGCCGCGGTTGTTTCTAAGGTGCAGCTTCCGTGTGCTGCCATTTCCATTCAACACAACTGTGAAGCGAAGTCGATACAGGCTGTCAGGGAGGCAGTGAGGGTCTCCTGACTTTACACGGTCCCTTCACAAGCTGAAATACCACATGATTTCTCTTATATGAGAAGTCCAAAATATAAATTGAAGAGCAAAGTAAAAGATAAAAGGCAGATAGATCCTTTGCAAAGGGGAAGGGGACCGAGACATAGAGGAGGGAGAAAAAGGGGCAAAGGGATGAAAAAATAATTAGGTGTGTTACGTACACGCACCACCTCCCCACTCGGAATGTAACCATTACGTAAACATGTACTGGTGAAAATTAAAGATACTAAATTGTACCTTCAGTGGGGCATGGTACAGGATTCTACTTTTGCCTAGTGAAGTATGTGTTTATTCCAGCCTTCCTATAAACATCTCCAAGTCCGACACTAAAAACGCACATTTAGAGGCACAACTCTGAACCTCCAGCAGCAGTTCACCAGCCAGGCAAGACCACTGTTCCAAGGAGGCTTCCAGGCCCTGCCGCACAGGCCGAGTCGGGTCTACGCTAGGATTGGCAAAACTCATCTTTCCTGTCCTACAAAGTGATTCTAGCCAACTCAGAAGCACCCTTGTCTCTGAAATGCCATTACCTGTGTCCTAAATTCCCCCGACAGCTCATTAGCTGTTATCTTTGAAACCAAGCCATCTCAAATGCTACCTGAAAGGGGATGATATTTTTAAGAATTAGCTGGAGCCCTTGGAAGCACACAAAGGAGTTGGAATGCAACCAAGACCCGGCTAGAGGACACAGGGAAATGGTCATTAGGGGTGGCATGCTGGACATATCCAGGAATCCTAATTAATGAGTCCCAAGTGCTTCTCAGCCTTATTCCTTTAGTGGTACTTGAGGTCTATTTGCCCTCAAGTAAATTTTAAATCAACTACGAGGCAAGCTTTCTTTTCCCAATCGTCACACCAGTTCTGATGCGGCACACCATTTCAGCACGCTCCACATCTCAACCAGGCTGAGGGTCTCTGGTCTATAGGTACTGCTCCCGAGCTTATCCCTGATGGTTCTGTACACAGTCCCCACGGCACAAAGAGGCCAATAACACACTTAAAAACTAAGCTGTGGATATGGTCTCCATGTTCCACCAGCGAACAAATACAATCTTGAAAAGCAGAGGTTACTATAACTCACTACTAATTGAATCAGGACACATCAAAGTGGTATTACGGGCATTTTTTTAATGGTAACGGTCAATTTATACAAATTACAGGCTAGGATAGTACGAGTACAAAATCTATCAAGACAAAGGTTAGAAAAACATCACTTACAAAAGTAAATTTGATTCCAGTGGCTAAAGCACTCATGCCCCCCGTGGTGATAACCAGGTAACACACAGCTGGAAGTAAAGCATGGCGTGTGGACGTCCTCCCCCGAGGCAGGGCACTGCTGCGTACTTCAGCAGAGCTGGTAACACCCGTGACTGATGGTTCTAAGGCTTTCAGCATGACATCAAGAGGCATCTTGGGACAGGCTCACCAGGCAAAACTCAAAGCAGAATGTACGAACATCCTTGGCAAACTGTAAGGTGCTGTGCAGATGTTGTTAGCTATTGCTATTATTCCTGTTCAGTGAGAGTTCACTAAACACGGGAAAAGGAAGACGAGTCTGTATAACTGACCAAAGTGACTTAGTGGACATTTAAAAATGAACACAGGTGGGATTTTTTCCAACTACATGCAGCAGTAACACAGGCAAGGAAAGTGTGGCCAGGAGCAACGTCAAGGAATTCTGGACTACTGCGTGGACTATCTAAAGGATGAAGTTATTCATATATTATGCGTAGTATTTAGAGTTAGGTTCCCCAAGTCCCTGAAAATTATTTTAAGGAGACTCTTTCCCCTTCCAAAGGGAAAAAGAAGTCTCATCAAGTCACTAACGTGCACTCCAACCCAGCTCTTGTAAAAATGATCTTCAACATGAATCTGAATTAACAGTTGTACTACACTGGTGGGCAACACGGAACAGCGGACAGCAACAAAACCTGCCATCGACCTAAAACAAGTGACAAATTTTCTCTTAGTTACACCATTTATCCAACGGGCTTGACAACAGTATACAATTTCACTTGGGAATAAACTGAACAATAAACTGGTCTGGAGACAAGGGAAGACATACTAGATACATTTAAAATTGGATTTAAATCCTTTGTTTCAGGTACTTTCAGCTTTAGTCTTTCTCCCAGGTATACCTTAACTTTTTATTCATCTCCTTTTACTTCACATATAAAATCGATACAAAATGGAAAATGAACACGAAGCAAGTCAATCAGTTGCTTCTTTTGGCAAAGCCAATGGGATTACTATGATGAAAACATTCAAATTATGATGATGGACTTCCGTTAGATTCTGGTGGAACACTTTAACAGTAGGTTTAAAATTCTTCACTAACAGCTCAAAAGCAAATTCTGTTAAATGTAACATGTTGTCCGCTTAAAGAGCTAATGGTATCAGAGGCACTGTACAGACTTTCAAATTTTCAGTGCAGTAGGAAATAAGGATTACAGTGTGGAGGACAAACAAGGTGGTGAGGAAGGTGCTGTAACAGTCAATAAGGATACATCAGTAGCTTGGACTGCCACTTCAAGTCACATTTCCTAAGTGAGGTCAGTCACTGTCACAAAACAGTTTTCAAACAACAGCGAACATCCTCGTATCTTAAAACATATATAAGGGCTCACCTGCAACTGTCCTTTCTATACACCTTAAAGTATATACATTGTGCAAGGAGAAACCAGTGAGATATCTAAAAAAATAGATCTTATTTGTCAAATACCATATGTGAACAAAATTAACAGCAGCAAACTAGTGAGGTAACACTTAAAGCCACGGGAAAAACTAACTCTTTGAAAGCAAGCCTATTTTGTAATTACCCTAAACACCAACCCTACCATCTGATTTTCACTTTCAACAAGGTGGTAGTTTTTCCAAGGAAAAATTACATGTCTGTATGTATCCCTGGTTTAAATACTTGCAGAAAAACGCCCATATCATTATCTACTCAGCAAATGTCTGAAAACAATGATCCAACCTTGGACAATATATTTTACAAATAGCATTTAGATACCAAAAGTACAAAGAAAACCCTGGCATGATACAAAAAGGAATTACATGGGATAACTTAAATACAATAGGCCATCTAATGAAGGAATCATCTAGAAATTTACCACATAGTAACCTAGATTCAAATGTCATTTTACTAAACTTGTAACTTTTACCAAAAAAACCTTTACGTTTGGAATACATTCCTGAAGTCATTTAAACTGTAGACAGAATTTAACTTTAAGAATTAAGAATAGTTCTATAATCATCACACAGATCTTGTTTTTCTCAACAATTAAACACACTGATTTTTATGCCTAATGACCTCTAATTCTTTAGTCCAATTCCATAACACTGAAAATAGTAACAGTGAACAAACAAGTCAATAATGGTGAACAATTAAGCAAGGGCCATTGTATTAAGACTATCAGTAAAAAGAAATTTGAATTTGTTTTAACATACATAAAAACATAAAAAATTGTACATATTCATAGGGTGCCATGTGCTATTTCTATGATTACATTGTATGTTTGAATTAGGTTACATGTATTTCTTTCTTCAAACATTTATTATTTCTTTATGAGAAAACATTGAAAATTTGAACTTTAAAACAACAAGATAGAGTGTGTTTTTAAGAAAATGGCCAATAATCACTGTTCTGAAATAAAAAGGCAAATAGCTGTCAGTAAAGATGGCAGGATTTGAACTGACACCAAACTTTTAGCACATACGGACAAATGCAAAACAGTTTATTTCTGTTTGAATATACATTTTTCCAGTTTTTTACAGAGAACATATATTCTGGTTCTATAATAAAAAAAAACCAAACATTTGGGAGACAGTGTTTTCAGAATGCACACAACGAATACCTGGTGGCTATAAAGAACACAGACTAAAGGTACTAACGGAAAACGACAAGGTGTGAGAGGTTTTTTCCCATCAAAAAGGACCTCAAGGGGCTGGGGATTTAGCTCAGCGGCAAAAGCGCCTGCCTGGCAAGCGCAAGGTCATGAGTTCGGTTCCCGGTACCAGAGAAAAACCAAAAAAAAAAAAAAAAAAAAAAAAAAAAACAAAAAGGACCTCAAGGATATCTAACTATGCACCTATACATATAAGATATAACTTTTTAATAACTCCAATTAAAAAGCCAGTAGACCAGAAATCTCAAGAATATTTCTTAGGTGATAGGGGCTGGGGATTTAGCTCAGCGGCAAAGCACCTGCCTGGCAAGCACAAGGTCGTGAGTTCGGTTCCCGGTACCGGAGAAAAACCAAACCAAAAAAAAAAAAAAAGAATATTTCTTAGGTGATAAAGATGATCCATTTCTATTATACTCTTAATAGATGCAAAAATTTGAACACTTTTAATGCAAATTCCTATCATATAAACTGTAACTTAAAAAAAGCAGTAGGGAAAACAATTATAAGTGGAATTTCAAGAACCCTTGTAACTGAACCCTAACTTCAATGCTGAACGAGGGAGCCAGGACATCTGAACATCACGAAAGTGCCCATCAGCTCCTCTTTGCTGTCTTAACCCTGCAGTGAGCCAGTCTTGTGACTTAGCCTAGCTTCCCCTTTTAACTAATATAATGAAAGTTCATACACTCTATGCGCAAATCATCAGTGACATTAACTCCAGTGCCTGCAGTTGAAGCATAGGAAATTAGAATCCCAAACGCAAGAACCTGGTATCTTCCTGACAGGGAAAGTGTTCCAGCTTAAAACAAAGCTCAGATTTGCTTCACTGAGTGTGTCCTAATATATCCAGAGGAGTAAAACTGAAAAGCAACTAAAAGACAAACTGCTACAAAACATTTCACCGTCAGCCAATCAAATTCTTCCCAGAATAACGTGTAACTTGTTTAACAGACTCATTTTTATCTAACTTAACTTTTCCAAATTTTTATGTGCAAAGGAAAGACTCAAAGTTAAAACTGATTACAAAAGCCACTGTATGAGGTGGGTCAAAATTTACACTGGTCAGACGTGACGCCTCCAGACTGACTTTAACGTACTCTTTCAAGTTTATTAAAATAGGATGTATTCATTATCAATGCCCACAGCAGCATTTACCGTATTTTACAAAATCACTTTCATGCTATCAAAAGGCGATGTCACGTTAATCTTGCTTTCCTTCTCGCCACTGTCGTGAGCCTTCATTCCAAGCCACATACACAAAAAGGGCCAGCACCACATGAACGGCAACCACTGCAACAATGGCCGCATAAAAATAGCTGTCCCTGTTGGACATCCCAAGGGCGCCTATCAGGAGAGAAGAGTAAGTTTTGATTTTATTCCAAAATTTACTGAAGTACATAAACAAAGCATAATAATTACCATCAGCTATATACTTATTTAACTAGTCAAACAAAAATAACACTTCTGGATGGTAGTGAATCCAGCACATTAAAAGGTATGAGTGCCTTCTATATATAAAAATATTGCTTTAAATGGAACCATAATCATAACTTTGTCTAGGGTCTTCAAACATGAGATTTTACTCTCCTCCTTTCAAAAACGAAAAACGTCCATTCCTCCACAATCTTCTCCCATGTCAAGCAACCTCAGTTCTCAAGCAGATATGAAAAGAATCATAAGCTGTTTCACAAAAAAAAGAACTATAAACACTGCTAATGTCACAGAAGTAATCTTGGTGCTGGCTTTTACAGAACCAGCAACAATCAGGTGACTCTCACTATCAAGCAAATAACTTAACGTAGTCATTTGTACGTAACTCAACTTTTCCAAATTTTCATGTACAAAAGAAATAAAAATAATATATTTAAAAATCTATGGACGAAATGACAAGCTGCAATAATTACAAATGATGAAATATTTACTGAAATAATTTATGCACAATGTCATTTTCGGAAAGACAGAAGCTTACATGTAACGAAGGCACAGAAATGAAATTAACAAGGGAAAACTGCTTTGATAAGCCAAGGATTACCTTCAAAGATGTAAGATTTGGTTGTGAAATATAAGCCGATGGGCACAGTTATCATTAATGCTGTGAAAAACAAAAGTGTTTTCAAGGTCGACGCCAACGAACTTTCATTTCTGGAAGAAAAAAAGAACAGTAGTGTGCAGTGCTGTATACAAATATTTATCTGTCCCTAGAGCTATAAACATCCACAGATGAGATGCTAGCAAATAGCACCCCCCGTGGGAGCAGTGATCATAGGAAGAACAGTGTAGGCATGGCTCACGAGGCTTCTTTCAGGGACCTGGTTATGTACCACCTCACCTTCGTAAGACTTGTCATTTAACACTGTGTGGTCCACTCACACGCAGGGGAACTGTCCGACATGAAAACCAGGCCCACGCCGTCTGACCCACTGAAACCCACCAGGAAAATTACGCCCAACCATGACACTTGGAAATGCCTCCGCTTCAGTGGCTGAACCCACATGCCACACAATAGAATCAGTCCACAATCTGCACCAGATAGTGACATAGCAAGAGTTCAGGCACTGAAAGCCTTCTCAATTGCTGCCCTCCCACAGATCTGAGTATATCCACCTATTTACACAAAAAATTTAAATACTACAGAAAAACAGTGGGCCCCAGCAGTAAAATTAAGAAATGGCGTGGATACTCTCTACATAGAAGACACCTAAAACTCCACCGAAGACTTCTAGGTTTAATAACCGAATTCAGTTGTGTAGCTGGATAAAACTCAACATTCAAAAGTCAGTAACATTTCTCCACAGCCTCGCCAGCATTTCTATTGGTTGATTTCTTAATGCTAGCCATTCTTCCTGGGGTGAAATGAAATCTCAATGTTGTTTTAATTTGCATTTCTCGAAAGAGTAATGATGTTGAACACTTTCTCATGTATTTGTTTGCCATTTTTATTTCTTTATCTGAGAAGTGTGTATTCATCTCAGCTGCCCATTTTTGGATTGGGTCTTTGAATCTGGGGAGGGGGGCTGATGTTTTTTAATTCTTATATGTTCTAGATAGAAAACCTTTGTTTGAGTGACAGTCTGCTAAAATTTTTCCCAATTTGTGGGTTTTCTTTTTACTCTGCTGGTGATTTCTTTAGATGTGCAGAAACTTTTCAGTAGGATGAGATCCCAGTTGTCGATTCCGTGAATTATTTCACGGGCAGTTTGGTTTTGTTCATGAACTCTCTGCCTACCCCTATGTC